CCGAAAATTTCGGGTTCGCGACATCACTAGTCTTTATGTGTAAGGGTTGCATTGTGTGTGTGTGTGTGTGTGTGTAATGGATGCATTGTGTGTTTCTCTGTGTGTAAGGGAAGCATGTTGTGTTTCTGTGTGTATAGGGATGCATTGTGTATATGTGTGTATGTGCGTAGTGTGAAAGAGGGGGATATCACCTATATGTCTAGATAAATCAGAATCTAGACCAGAGGAAAAATGCCTTTCTGACCGCAGTATATCTATTAAGCAAAAGTGAATATATAATAATAGTGCATAAAGGTGATGACGTCATAATTAATCGTGTTATAACAGGAATCAGAGTAATTAAATACAATAACTGTTTCTAAAACATCCTTTGGTCTTAAGTAATAATAATATATCAAATATATTATACCGTATATTAACATCCTGTGAGTGATTGTCCACGACCGAGTTATATTGGACGTGTTTGTTGGATGTATACTTAAAAACAGAAAGACCTGGCAAGCTAAAAACTATTAGCTTCGGCGTGCTTCATTAAGAATATTAAAGAAACAGTGAAGTATCCTATGGGATTATGATAAATGACAGTCATAGGTCTAATAGGGAAAATACATAAGTAATTATTATTATATATGCTTAATATATAATGTGAGGTGGACTAATACATAATTTACATTGCATAGATTATGTATCATGTAATAAATGTATACTGTTTATATATTAAGAGTAAGGTATATTTGACTTGTTCAAGTTAATGAATATTCAATATACAGTATATTATTTCAGATATAAGATTATAGAGTACATAATCTTATAGGGCACAAAATTCAAAGGTTAATAGAATAATAATTTGAATAATAAGAAATTAAATAGGTAAATAGGATAAAAAAGTGATTCTGGGGCGGAGCTTGACCGCCATACGGATAGGAGGTGCTCAGCAAGAGCTCCCACGTCTGGTCCTGAATTTGGGGGATTAATCCCGGTGCACCCATTCATATTGCCTGCTGCCAGCAACCCTCTTGTTCACGGGTCGATGCTGCATCCGGAGGTACCCGTCATGTACGCCTCCTTAACAGGCTTGCCCGACCTGAGGATTGCAGCCTACTCACGCTGAAGCCATTGGGAGACCTAACACTACCCCCCAACCCCCCTCTGGACTGGTGGGGTATATCCCGGTCCCACCAACATGCTCCCCGTACCCAGCCTGGAATCAAGCAGCTCACTCAAAACAGGCCCCAACCGCTACACAGGCTCTCAAGATGGCGAGCAGGCTCACTGGGCATGAAAATGTATATTTTATGTTTGTGACATTTATATTTATAACTTCTAAAATATACATGTCACAAACATAAAACATACATTTTCATAATCAATCCATTCAGGGGAACAACATATTAAAAAATGGCACGAATCAGACCAGGGGTTCAAAAGTTAAGGGAAAGTCCTTTGTGACTAAATGAAGCATGGCTTTCTGGCCCAAAACCAGTTTCAGAGTCTTCTATCCTGGAGAGTAATTCAATTATCTCCCAGGACAGACACAAGACTCCATTAAGCACATGGTTGCAAAAAGACACAAAACACTTTAAAATACATAAAGTCACCTTTTATACATAAAACACAGACATTTCACATATCCCCAGATAGCTGGGATCTGAGTGCACATTATTAGATGAATGGCACTCAGATCACACAAATAAGCCTTTCTGCAGGAGAAATAAACGGTTTAACCTGCAGGGCCATAGTCCAAAGGGAGCAGGCGAGCAACCAGGCTTCTCCAGTTCACAGTGGCGAGATTGGTTTCGCCACAGTCATCAACACAAAGCTGAACCTCGGTCTGGCAGTGGGACTACCGTGGTGGGGGTAGGGTGAATTACAAGTGCGGGACTCTCACTAATGTCACCCTTATTCCTCGCCATACCTGACAACACAGCTCAAAATGTTTATTCTAATCTTTTGTGTATAGTAACCACAGTCTACACTTTACTAAGCCAGACCCCTCAGTTAATTTGCGAATTGCCCAGCATAGTTTGTTAACCGCTCATGGCCTAGACCAGACCAAGTATACTGAATGTATAGCAATGGGTGGCTAGGTGATGGGGGGTGCACTCACGCTAGTTTCATAAAGCAAAGCCCTAGCCTGACCGATATTTTCTGAGAGCAGCCTACCTATGAGCCTATCTCTGAAACAAGATAATGTTCCCTACTGTCTTGGTGAAGCTTCAGTTAACACCTAATTTATCTAATATTACGAAATGTTTGCTATCTTACTGTAAAGGGAATACTTGTTTAGCCGATACTCAGTCATACTAAGCTTAGACTAGCTCCCCAAACGCCTGCACAAGCTATCATACCAGTACATGCATTTTACTGTTAACTCATGAACAGCACTACATAAATATTATAAAATGAGGCTGTTATTTTCAGGAAATGTTGAACCATGAAGTGGTACAATATATCTCAATATTGTACAAGTCTTGTTCATTTCCCCTTCTTCATTCTGTTCCGTTAAAAACATATGCCTCAATAAAAATTAAAAATTGAAAAAGAAAAGTGATTCTATGAACTGAAATTAAAGTATATCAATATGAGGTTAATTCGCCATTACAGAACTTGGTTGTGGATAAATGGTGTGTAATTAAAGTCTTCATTTAATCCACGGGTAGTTAATTAATAAATCCATTTGGATTCTTTTTGTAATAGGTGTCTACTGAAATTTCCTTTTCTCGGGTTGCCAACTTGTCCTTGGTGAAAATTCTGAATGTCTTGCAACTGGAGTCGGGGTGATGACATTTGTAATTGAGTCAACACGTTGGAGTATCCTAATATAAGAAACAAAGTGGGAAGTGCTAAAGTAGAATAAAACAATGTTTTACCTAAATCTGAAATTCCAATGAACAGGAATGATAAGTCTATATAGGAGACAAAAACAGGGATGCTCGCATAGTAAAGTATCGTTGATAAATAAACATTTATGACAAGCGCCACTTATAGCAGGCTCTGGCTGTGTCAGCATGTAAGAGAAATGAATACGGTTTGTCTGTTACCCTGCAGACCAAATAAAGAGTTGCCAGGGTATAGTAGATAGACAAACAGGATACTTTATTCCTCCAAAGTAATTAAAAACACAACATGTTTTGACGATAGCTGTCTTTCTCAAGTGCATAATAATTTCACAATACATGCTTTCACATTTATACACAACAGGGCAGTCAAATCTGGCTCCAAATTCCGGTGTCCGACCAGCATGCAGCAGTTCCGGAATCATGGGTGATTACTCATGCGTTCCAAAGTTGCCTGGCGCCTGACGCTCTATAAGGAAGACCCCTCAGAGGTAACCATGAACTGGATTCTCTCTGAGGTACAAGCAAATGTCCTCAACAAGAAGAATGGGGCAAACCCCCCACAA